TCATTTGGAGTGCTCTATTTTTTTTTTTAGAGGAAGTACTATTCAGTCCACTGGGATATCCAGGAATAAGGCACACAGGAAAAAAAGTTAAGCTGTTAATCTGAGTCTCCATGTCTTTCTCTCAGTGTATCTCATTGTCTTTCTCTCTCTGATTTTAGGAAACAAAATAAAATGTGAAGGAAATTTGGTCAGTCCTTATAAGACAAGAAACTAGGCTAAAAGACCCCTCGGGGTGATGAACATATAGGATGCAGAATCACATACCAACCATGAGGGATAGTCTTGGAGAATCTGCCAAAGTCACATCCTCTTCTGCGAGAAAGCCCCCACCCCACAACACACTCCCTCCCTCTCTCATCCTGGGCACCCAGCCCCTCCCTGCAGCTGGGACTCATCCCTCCGTCACTGCAGTTGTGTGGAACAAGGGTGGGCCTCCGACCACGGGGAGCTGACCCAGAGGCTGGACTGCGTCATTCTGATACCCTCTCTCTGTCTCTCTCTCTCATTTGGAAATGGGCAACAGAGAGATGGAGGCATTGGTCCTGGATCTAGGCAGTGATGTGGGTTACAAGCTGGAGTTTTCTCCCTTGTGCTTTGGAAAAACAAAGACAGCTAGTATGCCGGGAGAGAAAAAGGTGAATCAGGGGCACAGGGAGAAACAGAGGCCAGAGACATGTGGCCTTAGACACACACACACACACACACACACACACACACACAGAGGAAGGGGTGGCAGGGAAGGACATGGGAGGGGAAGGAAGGGCAAGGAAGGAGAGGGGAGGGAAGGGGAACCATGGTCTTCCTGACTTTTCAGCCTCTGAGTCTGTCCCTTCGTGGGCCTCAGTGCGCTACTGTACTAGGGCCCCAGGGTTTGGGGGATGCCGCTGTATCTTTCAACTCTCTCTCTCTCTTGCTCTTAAGATGTTTCAAGTGGGTTTTTGTTTTTCTTACTAAATGTTCCTGACCAAAATATTAAGTAAGATAAGAAATTTTTCTTTCCTTTGTGGTAAAGGACAGAGGACTAACTAATATGACATAAATATATTTTATGGTTTCAAGTAGTTACGTATTTTCAATAGGAAATAGCAAGCATATTTGGTGGGGTGGGGTTGCAGCCATAAAGTTTCCTAAAAAGTGAAAAAAAAAAAAACAACCTGTGCATCGAAGAGCTCCCTGTGTGAACGCATGGGGTGAGATACTGTTTCACTGCCCTATGCTGTGCTTCTCTGTGCCCCCTGCTCATTTCACTTCTGCCCCTGTACGCCAGAGACCTCCACCCAGCCCAGGTAGCTATGTGTCAGCTTGGGGAGAAAAGAGTAAGCAGGGTGACTTTAAACAGTGATGTTAAGTTCCATAATCACTAGTTTAGGTACATTAGATACATTCTTGCAGAAAATGTAGGCTTTTGTTTCCAAACAAGCTAGAAAACTCCTAGGGCTGGGGAGGGGGAGGAGAGGGAGAGGGGTCACTCCTAATAAAATCCAGAATCTCTGCTGGAGCAAGGGCCATCCTCTTCCAGCACCAGAGAGCACTGGGGAAACTGAGCTGGTTGCCCCATTATCATCCTCATTGCCGTCCAGGTAAAGCCGGGGCTCACAGCAGGGAGCAGGCCTCCTGTCAAGTGACCTGCAGGAGGGACACTACTCCGGACCCCACTGCTTCACAGGACCTGGCCTGACCCAGAACTGCAGGAAATCCTCACTCCAGAGGCCCTGGGCCCGCAGGAGGGAGAAAAGGAAAGTGGTAGTGTGGCAAGGAGAATGGCTGCCGGCCGGACCATGACCCAGGGCACAGCCCCAAACCTGGACAGGGAGGCACACCTCCAGCCCTGCTCTTTCAGATACAATTTTATGTGGCATTATTTAATTAAGCACATGGTTCTTACAACATTTTGTGAAAATTGAAAGTCCAGGATAATTGTTGATTTTTTTGGTAATTTATGTAGTTAAGAAATCTCATCCGATTTGTTTGGGTTTCTTACTGGCAAACATAAAACTCTGTCTTTAATAATAAATAGAAGCATTACCAAGAAAATAAGGATGGAGAGTATTTAAGGATAGTCTTCTTTTCTCAACCAAAGATCAAGAAAATATGCTTTTCTGACTCTTTTTACATCTCATCCCCCAGTCTTCAATGCCTGCTGTGCCCACTAGAGCCACAGTAGGTGCAAGATAAAACCTTTTCCAATGAATGACAGAAGGGTTATTAATCATCATTTGGAAAGGATCCTAAAGGATACCAGCATAGGCAAGAGTGTTTATTTACTCTTTAGATATTTATGCAGAAAATTCGTTCCCTGGTCTTCATCTCAGTGGGTAATGCCGCACGTGGCCAGAGGAGCACAGCTTCAGGGGCAGTGGCATAGACGGCAGCTCGGTGGTGGTGTAGCAGCCACTGGCCTTGGGCTACACCTTGAGTGACCTGGAGAAGTAGCTCCCTGGCATAAAGCAGAGGATCTTTCCTGGAGAAGAGGTCCTGTTGGCTAGGCTAAGACAGGCCGAGCCGCATTCACAATTAACCACCCCAATTTACTGGCTTTGTAGAAAGTTCATCTACCACTCTGGATACAGTCCAGTGCACCTCACGAAGCCTGCCTCTGGTGTGCAGCCTCCCCATCTGGATCCTACAGCCTCCGAGGCTGCAGTCCCAGGGGAAGAAGGAGCTAGAGGTTGGCACGGGATGTGCTGCTGGCCCAGGCCTGTGAGTGGCACGAGGCCCTTCAGCCTACATCTCACTGGGCCACTCACCCCTACTGCCCCTGCTGCAGGGGAGCCTGGGCAGCCTGGGCAGCGTGGTGTAGCTGTGTGGCTCAGAAGAGCCTGACAGGGAGCACATACCATCGTCTGCCACAAGGAATCTGTGGGGGAAGGGTGACAGCAAGGAGCAGCACGTATGTGGCAGCAAATGAATGTCTACATTGGCTTCTGTTGGAGTCTCTGGCCTGGGATGTGCAACAGATGCTGACCTTCCCTATATCAAGGCACACTCTTCATTATATTTGGCTAAATGGAAGGAGAGCAATTTAAGTGCAAATCAGTGAGCTGCGGCATCCTGGAATCCATACCGCTGAATTAGATATGATACTCTTTTGTGCGTAGGTGAGGCCCCTGACAAACTGGAAGCTGAGGAGACTGTAGTGGCAGGCAGAGCAGCTTGTGTGCCCCGAAGTGGTGTGCTTCTGGTAGGGCATGGGCTTAAATTGTTTAAGGGGCCCAGACCACACCACCTTCCCCACGCACCCCTTCCCCACCAAAGCAGAGGAGAGAGGGCACAGAGGCTGTTAGGAGCTCCCAAGTCTCTCACTTTCCTCCAGAACTAGATTCATGGCCGATGGCAGGGGAGGAGGGGGAGTGGCCTTTTGCTGAATTACACCTTGTAATTCACTTTCAGAGTGGGTCGGAATCCCTCAGATTTCTAGCAATGAAACACAATCCTGTAAGACACGTGCCTTCTAATTGTTGGGTGGCTTTCACAGCGCCCAGAAATCCCCCTGGGGTCTCTGTAACCATGGTAATGTCTGTAAAGTGGCAAGAGAGCAACCGCTCCAAAGGGGCCGATGGGGTCCCAAGAGCAAAAGCCTTTTGATGAGCACAGACATCCTAGCTGCTGAGGGTGTGGCCTTGTGTCTGCTGACCTAGAGCCGGCAGAGGGCCTGTGTTCGCAGGAGAATGTGACCTTGCTGGCTGTCACCGGGAGAGGGAGGGAGGACAGCAGGATGAATGGCATCCCCGGGGGCCCTCGTCCCCAATGAGAGAGCCACAAAGAGCGTCCTGGCCAGATCCCTCTGCTAAGGGTTGCTCTTAGGCCACCTGGGACCACACACTTCACCTCAGAAAAGAGGGAGACAGCTTCAGTGCACACTCCTGAGGGCCCGGATGGCATCTTGTTTTGTGTTTGGGTGTGATACAGCTCTGCCTCTACTTTGCACGGAGGGAATATTGGTAGTTTGCTTATTAGGATCTCATGAACTTTTCAGCTGCTACTCTGAGTTTCCTCTTTATACAGAACAGAGAACAGCCAGGGACTTGCTTTCTAAAGAAGAAAGCTTGGCATTAGTTTTTCAAACCTCTGAGGACAGAGAGAGAGAGAGAGAGAGAGAGAGAGAGAGAGAGAGAGAGAGAGAGACAGGCTGCATGAGAGTGTGGGGGAATCTGGCCCCCCTGGGCCTCCGGCAGGTACCCACATGGCGCTGGGCCTTGCATGTCCCTGCTCTCCCCCAGCTCCCAGTGCTTCTGCACAGAACCATTTCATGAAGATGTCCAGAACTGGGCTATACTAGCCCATTACTGAAATGCACATTCCGTCATCACCAGACTGCCTTCTGGCCTTCCGGTTGTTTCCTGAATGAAGGTGGAGGGTTTAGTCTCTGGAAGGTGAGGCAGTGCCCTGATGTCAGTCTCTGGGATGCAAATCACCATCAGAGCAAGTGATTTCTCATGCATGTGAACAGTTGTTTGTTTCTTGTCAATTTTTACCAAAGGGAAAAATAATTTTTTTAAAGGAGTGCTTTCAAAACCTCCGGTATGGGGGCTGAGTACCCAGCAGCTGTGACAAAGGGGTTCGTGGTGAGTCCTCTGTCATCCTCAGCTTCCTCAGGAGCGCCTTCTTGATGGCAGTGGGCAGCAGGCAGGGAATAGAGGAGGGGTCAGTTCCAGCCTCAGCTCCGGCCTTTGGTCAGCTGCGGATCAAGTTCATGGGTAATTCAGGAAAAAAAAAATGGACTTGGGTCATACTTGGGCCAACCAGACCAAAAGCCAAGATGACACAGTGATACCATCAAAATCCCAGAATGTAATGTAATTTTCATAATTGGGAATTTAGTGCTTGAAGACACTAAAGTTGGAAACAACAGCCCTAGTGAATCATTTTACATCAAGTTTACTAGGAAGAATTTTTCATGATTCCCCAGTGGTCTCAGGAATTATGTCTGTTGAAAGTACTGTTTTTCTTTTTTTCCTTCTAGAGGTTTTCAGATTTTAACCAGTCAGAATGGGTGTGCTTTAAGCAGACTTTTAAAATAAAGTACATTGATACATTTTATTAATACTCATTTAATGTACTATCATTTTAGGAAGTGATTCTAGCTCTGTTTTCTGGTATCTGTGGCAACATATGTGTGGATAGATCAGAAATAGTACTTGTTTGTATTAAAATGTATTCCCTGTGCCTTTTGATTCCTCCATGAAGGAGCAGGGAGTTTGCCCTTAGGTATGTACGTGGAGTGACAATTTGTCCATTCTAGTCAACTACCTTGATTACCTGAGCGCAGAAAGTTCCCACCAGGTAAAACAACCTTCGAAAGGCTTCCTTCTGCTCCCCTTAATTTCCAGCCTGTATGCTTAGTACGTATATAGTTGTAAACATTACCACGGAGGGTGTGGATGGTTTAATTTGTGCAAGGAAAAGAATGGACAAAATTAACCATATCCATGTGACCAAAGCTAGTCCACTTCCTTATTTGGAAAATTACAGAAATGTGTCTTTCAGTACATTAAATCTGCAGCTACATTAGTTGTCTCTGTGTCCTTAGATTTTGCAAAAGGGAACTGAAATCCAGCAAGTCGTATTAGGAGCCCATTCAAAAAATGAACAAAAAAGCAAATGAAAACAACCCAGAATGAGGTGGTGTATTTTTCACTTTGTGTTTTGTAGGCGTAAGTCCCTTCTTTATAATTTGCAATTTTTTCTGAGAGGTGGTGGCTTTTCACTTCAGAGGCAAACAATATCATGACAAGACAGCCGCAGGAGCCTGCAACAGAAGGAACAAACGTGTTGGGACAAATATTTCCTGATTATAAGGGACAGGAAAGTGTCAATGTGCAAACTAAAGAAAGCTTTCTACCATCATCCTCATTTGCATTTTTCTGCAAAAAAATTTATCATTTCAGATTTGTAATCATGAGCCCGATTCTCCCACCTATTTGGGTGTCATGCCTGGGTTATGTTTCTGAGTGAAGAAGACTTGGGGGGGGAGGGTAGAATCAAGCTGATCTCGAAAGGACTAGGCGATGTCCATCTGTGTAATGAGAAGGCTGGATCAGGGCACCTGAAGAGCTCAATGGTGGAATCAGGCTGCAGAGCAGCCAGAGCTGTGATGTGGCTTTGAGGAACAGACTTCTCTGTACCTCACAGGCCATGCAGGGAAATTGCCAGTTATACAGCCCTCATGTGAAGGGGTCTAGGGTTGCTTTCAGAAGGCTTATGTGACTTCTTTCCCTCCTGCAGTATGCAGCTGGCCACAGCTGCTCAGAGGAGTCCCTGAGCAAAGGGAGCCATGGGTAGGGTGTTCAGGCAGAGAGTATCTGTTTTCTTTGTTGGTAACAGAACTCAGGATTTTTACCTGGCATGTGGCTGCCTTGAATAAAGGCTACATTCTTTGGCTAAGGGGGCTGGAATGTAGAGGACTGAGTTTCCTTGAAGTATGCATGTTTTAAGGGCCTGCCCTTTCTTTCTCCCTTCTTTCCTGTAACTGAAATATGGATATAATGGTTGGAGCTCCAGTAGACATTTTGGACCAGGTGGTCTCAGAAATGGCAACCACGTACTGTGGGAAAACAAGGAGGGAGGAATCTAGATTCCAGACACCTGGAGCTACCAGAACAGCCCTAAACTTCAACCTCTAAGTTTTTATGTGAGAGAAAAATACTCCTACTTTGCTTAAGCCACTATTATTATTGTTCCCTAATTTGTCACTCACTGGTAGCCTAATCTAATCTTAATTGGTGCAGCTGTGGTCTAGATGAGCTCTCTGCAGGGCAGGCGCACTCCACACTGAGTGGTGCCTGGAAACTGATAGGCCCTTTCCCCCTGAGGCTGGAGAATGGGAGACTCTCAGATGGATGGAGACAGGGGGCAGGAGCAGATGGCAAGAGGGGCAGACCAGGAGCATAATGGATGGCCAGAACTCCAAGAGCCTCCATAGCTAGTGTGTGTCCCAGGCCACCACAATGGAGTTCCTGTTAATAGGAGGCTTGTTGAGATGCTTTCTGACTATGTCAAACCAGCTTAGGTTCAAGCCCTGATTCCTCCATGTACTCTGTGAAATTAGGCAGTTTTGATCTCCAGGTCTCAATTTCCTCATCTGAAAAATGTGGACAGTAGAGATGATGCATGATTAGCATTTGGCATTAGAATTGACACATATAAATGTTACTTATTGGTACCTATTTCTATGGTTTTTCCCTATTCCTTTCACCTTGCAAGTCCTTACCATAATCCCTTACCCCACCACATCACACAGTTCAACACCTGACTATATCAGATAGTCAACCCAAAAGAGTGTATTACAATGGCTTATTCCTCCAGATCCTCTACCATTAGGTCTATGACCCCTTTAGGAGGGGTAAATGTTTTTTGTTCTTCAATTACAGTTAATTCAAATATCTTGGGAGCAGCAACATAGCAGCTTCAGTTCCCATTCATTAATTCCTCATTCATTTATTCAGTTAGACTTACTACATGCCAAACACAGGTATAGTGGTGGAGATTTAAACATTAAAGAAAATCTATATGGTTTCTGCACTAGCAGAGAGTATAATCGGGTGGGGAACACAGATCAGACCATTATAAACCACTTGCAGTGAGTGAAACAGTTGGGTAGTCCAGGTGGCTATTACTGAGAGGGTGGGTGGCATCATGGAAGGTTCCTTGCAAGTAGCTGTAGGAAAAGTTAGCTGAGCAAAGTTAGACTGGACTGTGTGAGGGGAACATTCCAGACACAGGGCCTACAATGCTAATGAAATCCCCATTCCTTTTCCAAAGGCCAGGTTTGGGTTGGGGTGGAGGTAGAGACTGATCTTGCAGGTTTAGGGAAAATGAAGCTCCTGTGGCCCACATCCTCACGTTACCCTAAACTAGTTGATGATATAATTGGCTTGCTGCTAGGCTAATACTTCCACATTTGTTGGCAATGAGCCATTATTGTTGGTGTTACTATATAAAGAGTCCTACCTAGGGCTCTGCCTGAGGCAGATGGGCTTGCTGCATGTAGACTGCCCCAGAGGTAGATATGATCCCAGCACTAGACCTGCCCCTGTGAGAATAAAGCTTGGTATAAACCTTTTTACCTCTAATGTTCTGTTGTTATTTGGTCTCACCAAATCCAGAGTGAACTTGCCCGGGGCAATCCCCCTCAGGTGAGACAGCAGGTTAGTGGGTGAAGCGTTCAGGTGAGCAGGAAAGGTGAAATCACCGTTCTTCTAATTGAGAATTTTGCATAGGCTTGGCCCTGTCAGCTTGCTCAGCATCATAATACACCTCCAAATAATCACATGCTATACTTTTCTTGAAACTTCACTTCCTGCCAGCCTCAGAGCAGTAGTTGAGAATATTCTTTTGTAAAATTTGTCAGCCTAATTTTGTATTCTGAGCTTAAAACCAGAGCTCACCCCTGGCAAAATCGTATTATTCCTTTATTATTAAATCCAACAAAAAGGCCACAGTGCTGTTTTCTCTTTATCTTTTATTTGAAAATCGTGGAGAAAATGCCATTGCTTTTGCCGTAAGAGCCTTCTTTGTCTGAGGAGATGGTGAGTTTCACACAGAAGTGAAATGCTTTTTCCTTAGTGCTTGAAAGGAAAATTCAAGCTTGGTTTCTTTTTCAAGCTGTTAATATTTTAAAGGTACTACTTTGTTAAGGAGACAGCATCATAGTGAGACTGTATTTAGAATCTGATAAGTAAAAGTTGCTTGGGGTATCTTAAGATTCACAGCCTTTTGCCATCGTGAATCCTTCAAGTGAGCAAGCTCCTGAAATGGAGCACATGGTCCAGTAGTTGAGAGGGTGGCCTGAGATTCTGCTCTGGATTCTGGGGTTGAGCATGAGGTCAGCTTTGTCATTTCAGAGTCAGAGCATAGAAACCCAGCTTGATGCTCTGCCAGCCCAGTGGCTGCTAAGAGATCTGAAGGGGAACAACTCAGTGTGAATTTAGATATTTTTGCTTCTCTCTGTCCAGGCTCTAAAAGAGATGTGGGGCCAAGGATAATTATTTATGACTTGCAGAACAAAAGAGGCACGAGAAGGGTTTCTCTTTGTAGCTGGGCTGCTTGGACATGAAGAAAGATGTGTAAGGGATGGGAGTGAAGTGATGATGGAACAGAGCTAAGCATATTTCCGGTATGGCCCTTAGCCTCTGGCAAGGGGGCTTATGTCATGGGTCCCACATCTAGAAGGCCCTGCTCTCATTTCTAGAAAGACCTTTCCCCAGAGGGTGACTTCAGGAAGTCAATGGGATGAACCCACCTGGGATTCCTGACCCACATTCTACCCTACACTTCTGGGACCCGGGAATTCTCTCCCAGATCACCCTGAGTGCATTTGCGGGCCTGCGTGGGCATTTTACTTGGTCAGTCCTTCCAAGGGCAGTCTCTGAGGCTGAGGCTGAGGCTGGCTGAGGGGCAGCTGTCCTGGGGGCATGGTCAGAGCTGGGGTACACACTGGAGTGTTCACACGTAAATGCTCAAGGCCCTGTGTAGTGCTGATGGGAGCAGGCATGGGAAGGGAAGAGATTCTCACCACCTTCAGGTGCAGAGTTCTCAAGGCTCAGAATTCTAACTTTGAATCCACCTTCCAAGTCCTTATGGAGAGATGTTTCTCAAGGTAGAGCATATAACATGTTTCATTGAATAGCTTGTTAGCTTATAACGTGGAAACATTTAGACATGTGGTATATGGGCTTTCCTTCATGCTCTTGCCTGAGACTTCCCAAATGTTAGGGTCAGACCAGCGTGCCTCCCTCTTCCTTCTCCCAGTTACCCATGTTCACCAAGACCCCAAACTCGGCTGGGGCCGTTTGGACAGATTCCCAACATGTCTATCTCACAAGAAAGGTTAGAGTACTCTAGATGTAGGAAAGCCTGCCAAGTCTTTGCTCAGCTAGAATTTGGAATGCAACCAGGCACAGGACCCAGGGTTTGCAGCCGTGTGTCTTACTCAAAGACCAGCCATTTTCCTTTTATGTGTTTGATTTCCTCTACCATCTGGCTGGTACTGTAGTGGTTTCTTTTTTTCCTTTTAATGACTTTGATTACTGAGTTAATTTCTGACTGAATAGGATATCTGAGTTATAAGGCTGTCACACCATGAATTACCAGTCAATTAACCAATATTTGTAACGTGCTAGACACCACACTCCCATGACTCCCCTCCAGGAGCCGTCAGGGACTGCAGAATTGGGCACCGATTTTCACCAGTCCTTACAATAGAAGGACCAAAGGTCACAGCCAACAAGAAAGCTTTATCCTTGGCTGACCCTGAGAGTGACTCTGCTTTTGTGGGTAGGAACAGCTTGCCCGTATCTGTGGGAGTCCAGGGACCATGGGTTTCGATGGAAATATGCCCTCGAAAATAAAAAAAAAAAAACTCCAAAATGTTCTCATATTATCACTAAGATTGTACTTTGGGAAATAATAAATTAGACTTTCAATTCCATTTAAAGTAATGGCCAACATTTCCAGAAAGCTAACACGTCATCTTTAAACTATTTTATAGATGACAAATATAAGAGGCATTCCATTTCCTCTGCAGAATGATAAATTCATAATTTCCTTCTTTAAAGAGTCTTGAAAGATGACAAATGAGGGTGGGAAAGCCTCAACTTTGCAGGTGTGGTGCTAAGTTTCTGTGAAATTATGCAGCCTCACTGGAAAGTCAGTCATTGAAGGAGAGGTGGCAAGCAATGATTTCTTCCCCAAATGGAAGCAATTCTGGCTTTGCACCACTTTCGAGACCAGAGGCTACCATCTAGAAAA